TACCTAAGCATTTATGGGTATTAAAATTTAAGTCACAAATAAGATAAGAAAGAAAACTTAACTCTGAACCCGTGACTCTCGAGTTAATTGTTTTGACATCACAAAATTCTAGTATTAATAAGTCTAATTAAGTAAGCTTTACACCTATGTGTCCGTTAATGCCTCATATGTATTAATTTACACAGTCAGTCAGTGTCGATTGAGATTCTCAAGAACAGATTTTCAAGATGAGGTTTTCTGCCTTGATGAATCACATGAAATCACTATATCTCACTATTATGGTATCGAGACTACTACTCACGATTGTGGTGTCAAACTGTTTTGCTGTCAAAAGATCTGCCAAGTGGATTTCTTTTACGTTTTCTCGACTGTGGTGGTAAATCTCGTTTTAACGACCAACAGTAATCGGCTAACATACTTATATAATGTAAAAAATGTAATTTGAGATTCACTAAGCAGCCCAAGTTTTTAAAGCATACTACCAAATCTTACATTATTTTTTATAGTTTGGACTCTTGTAATTTCCTAGAAAATTTTCGATTAGTTCCTTAAATCAAAAAACATAAAACATTCTGCTTTCTCGTTTTCATTTATTCTATCAACATGTGATCCTTTAACATCTTTACAGACCTGAGGTCCATCAGAAAGAAATCCCTTCCCGCATCATCACTTAAATTCGGGACCTGATCTCCGATACACTTAAAGAATTGACCATCTTTGGTTAAAGCTTTTTCCATTGTTTCGTGAGTTCCAATTTGATATACAGAGATGGAATAAGGCTTTTTGATAAATCAACCAAGTGGCTGGATAGTAAAAAGCTTCCACATTTTCGGCTTGCTTAGTCTTTTTTTAAGCCATGATATTAGGAACTGCTCCATCCTCTGCCAGGCCCAAATCTCGAACATACTTTTTCTTGTGATATTGTTCCTGTCATATGGAATATATTCGTCATCACTAGTATCACTAGCACTATCAGTGATAGTTTCATTGCGACCCAAATTTCCTCCTTCTTTAATATCTTTCTTTTTGCTCAAACCCAATCAAATTTTTCACTTTGAGGTTCAAAACCAAAAAATTTTTATAAACGTCTTTCGTATATCGATTGATCGTTTTCTATTAGAAAGTATTTAATAGACCTGATCGGATCAAACAGACATCAGATTCGGATTCAACGACCCCAAAAACGTATAGATATGTAGGTTTACTTTGTTGACAATTTATTTTCTACATTTGACCTTGAACTGACCTTAAACCAGAGCTAATCGCGTCAAACGGACACCGGATTCCGATTCAGCGACCCCAAAACATGGATACCACGGTTTTGTCTTTCGAACCTGCCACTTTTTTTTGTGGGGCTTTGGTAACTAAACATATTAGTTTTTCGTGGTTTGTCATCAGAATACACTCCATCAGTTCCCATACACCTAAACGCAATTTTTTTTAAAGCGATTGCATTCGTTGGATATGGGATTCCAGATATCACAATAAAGGAAATGTATTTCCCCCGCATGGGAAACAACCAATTTCGAACAAATTTCATATCGCGAACCCTGGAGGTTTTCTATTGAGTATCGGAAACATGGGATATAGACGGATTCATTCATTAAATGAATGCCAAGCTGCAGTTCAGCAATTGTAATGTTTAATAAGACAATAAAACTGTATTATAGGGGCCGCAATGCAGTTAAAATAAATATTAAATATTGCGGAAGTTTGCATTCTCCTAAAAAGGGTAAAAAGACGTCGGAAAATGGATATTTCCGAACATCTGGGTTATTAAATATGTAGAGGAAGATAGTATTTAATAAACCGAAACATTCTCATTAAATAGCGTATTGAGTTTCCAGGGTTGCAATAAAATAAAAGAGTCTGAGAGAAATGTTTTCATTAAATTTAAGTCCGAATATTCACACAGTACCCTTAACGTGTTTTGCGTCTATACTTCAGTAGAATTAAAGTTTGAACGTGAAAAAATTATATTAGTAAATATTTTAGTGCACTTTAAGACAGGGAAGGGTCTGTAGAATGATAATATCAAAAAAGTAACGCGAAAGAAGTGACGCTAAGTTGGCAATTTGCAATTAATTAATTGCAAATACCAACAGCAACACGTTCAAGGTCAAACGAATTGGCCTTTGACAGACATGTTGGTCTTTGGATTGACAGTCTTTTCCATAAATTCCATCAACATTAATTGCTTTTTTCCAATAATAATGCGCAATTTTCGAAAACTGGTTGTTCCACGTTCAACTTTTATTTTACAGTTAATTGGCTAAATAGATCAGTGATGTTTTTGAAAGCTTACAAAACTACTAACGATAAAATCTTTCGTCAAAAGGTCAAGAGTTTCGATGCATCTGCTTTACCACCTTGTCAATCAGAGCTCCGAGAACACATACTCCGAACAGCATATATTGCACAAATTTGGAGTAATGCTCACTTAAAAGAGCCTACAACATTATCCCCACTCGACTGTGGCTGGAAAGTGGATGAGAATGCAAGATATGATTTTAATTGGTTTAGTGGCGACCAATTGCCTCAGTCAATCGATGATGTGACGTTTGATCTACAGAACGATAAAGATTCAGGTACACATATTTGCATTTTAAGGAAGTCTAAAACTCAATTAAAAAATGACTTTCAGACCCTAAAGGGGGTGAATTTATGTTAGCATAATATAATAAATATTTAATAATATATTGCTATTTGCAGATACAGAAATTGCAAATGACGGTTGTCAATACCTTAAAGAAAATGATGGAGTGTGTGACCAGAAAGATGATGAGGATGAAGATAGTGATGATATGGAAGGCGATGAGGAATCAAATGTCAGTAGCGATGAGGAATAAGAAAAATATATTTATTTTTTATATAATTACTATATTGTTGTAATAAAAAACATTTGCGTTGTTATCATTTATTTTATAAATAAGTGTCGTAAAATATTGTTCGATACTAGTGCGATAGAATAATTCTCGCACGAGTGTAATTGACGAATGTGATGATGAATCGCAAATCAAGCATTTCGCGCGCTATTATCGAAAAGTATTATTGTTATAAATTATAAGTAAAAGTGAAATAAATTTAATTATTCAATGTTAAAAAAGAAAAAGGTCAGTTATTTGAAAAAAAAAATTTTTTAACTTTTGTTAATACCTATTATACTAGCAAAAATCTCGCTCGCTAACGCTCGCTCGTTGTTACTATATCATACGTTTAAATAATGGTGTAAGCTCAAAAAATTATAATTAATAATAAATTTGGAATTTTAAGCAACTTCCGCGCAAAAACTTTCGCCACGTCTACCGAAGCTTTAGCCACCTCGTATCGAAGGTATAAGACGTTTATTTGACAATAATTATTGTAAGATATCTATAGACAAAAAAGCAGCTTTGTAGATTGTAATTTAATCCCGGTATGAGTTATTATTCAGAGCGGCTTACAGTGAAGCGGCGCAGCGACTGCGCTTTGCATCAAGGCTTTGCACCCTTAGATGATAGGTGGATTGTTTTTTTTTTGGTTCTCTTATAAACTAAAGTATTTGAGAAAAAAATTCAGCCTTGTAGAAATAAGTCAAAAAAGTTAATTTTACAACACCTTGCGTGGGTGGTAGACCCTTGATGGCCCCCCTTCCGACGCGGTAGACTATCATTATACTGTATTTTTAGGTATAATTGATCACTCTAAAATGTTTCAGCCTTGTAGGTATAAGGCATTTAAGTATTATTTATTTACATGTTTAAAAAATTGTTACTAACGTTTGCCCCCACATTGGCGCGGTAGACTGCCGTTCGGTTTACTTACGATATCGGAACAACAAAATGAGAAAAAATCAGCTTTGTAGGAATAATTATATCAATAATGTCGCTGCCTCCCGGGCTATTAGGTCCTTAAATTGTAGTAATTCAATTAGTAAAGTCATTGAAGCTTTTCACCTCCGAATTTTTTGAAATTGAACCGATCGACTTGAAATTTGGCAGATAGTTACAGAAAAGGTCACATTAGTGACACAGCGTCAATTGACTTTTTTTTAATTTCAATGGAAATCGATAGAGAATCAAATTTTGAGCAAAAAATATTCGAAGAATTTTTTCGAGAAATCAATAGTTTTTCACGATTGAAAGCAATTTATATAATTTTTTATAATTTTTTTTAGCGCAGGGGTGATTTGTAAGGGTTGAAAAGGGTTATGAGATACAAATTCTTTCATAAGCAATGAGGGAATTTTTATTTTAAATATGTAATTGCACCGTTAAAGCATTCCACGTTTCTAAAAAGTAATTTTTTATCATTCTTGTCAATACAGGGGGTGGTTTTTAGGGGTTGAAGGAGAAAAATTCTTTTATTCTTTTAAGTTAAATTTTATTTTAAATAACTGCACGATTTAATCATTCCAAATCTTTAAAACGTAATTTTTTATCATTATTTTTTGCATAGGGGTAGTTTTTAAGGGTTAAAAAAGGGTCGAAAAGAAAAAATATATCATAAAACATGTTCGAGAACATGGAACATTATTTAATCTTTGTGCTTGAATAAGATTTTTATCAATAAAATGCTTAAAACTTAATTTTTTCAATTTTTTTTTCAGTTAGGGGTAGTTTTTACCCCTAACAAACAAAAAGCGTCAATCGGGCTTATGTCACTTTTGAACTTGAGCCTAAGATGAGCCTTATTCTAAATTTTCATGCAAATCCATGCAGTTTCAAAGAATTCGAAGGTTACAGCTGATTTTCAGCTTCAATGTCTGTACTAAATTGCCTACAACATAAATTGACTAAATTTCCGATAGGTCGTCTAGATTTTCGTGGGCAGTGAAAAAAGTGAAAAAAAAACAAGTGAATTTGTGACTCATTTGCAATTTACCAACTTATGATTCTACATACCCTTTATAAAGTCCGATAAAATATCTACTAATTTTTTCAAATTTTCAGATGTTATGACCTAATTCGATTGGAGTACAGTTATTTCAGATACATGCAGTGGAATTAAACCTTTCCCACCTGCAATCTTCTTAGAGGATTTACGATGGCGCAATACCTCTCTGCCGAGAGGGCAGTGAGTGTGAAGACGGACACTCCAATGCTGATGTCCTTGGCGGTTTCGGCGACTTTACACACCACGACGCCCCATGGCCAAGATTCCACCGTATAGAGAATGGACGTGAAGGGAATGACAGTGATGATTACCAGCAGGTCCGCCAAAGCCAGCGAGAAAATATATCTGAAACAAATAAATAGTCCGTTTGGTCGTTGCCCCACGTTGAGCGCCAAATTTGTTGGTGCTCAACGTGGGGCCGACGTTAAAAATAAAAAATTGTTATTTATAAGTTAAATTCTTTATGGGGACGATACTTTTAATGACTTTCAAACTTAATTGAATATGTTTTAATTAAATGCCAGGAAAATATTAATAATCTTGCTAATACGACATAATACCCTGTCAGTTAAGTCTTTAGGCTCTTTAATTATTTTTCGCCAAGTCAATACAGGGGTAGGACGTCCTCTTCCTTAATGTCGAAGTTGATAAAAATTTACGACAAAAAAAAAGTATCTTAATCTCATTAGCATGTAATACCGTACAATTTTCGATCATCACATTCATTACCATGAGTTTTAATTAGAAATTATGTGTTAAACAAGTTAGTGTACTTTCCAATGTTGATGAATTATGATGTATTTTGATTGATGGTGGTATACTGTTCAGGTTTTGTAGGAAGCTAAACATTTTTTCAAATAACGAGCGTTCAAATAAAAACGTGGTCAAGTTGGTTCTGAAAATTTGGACGTAGGGCGTAGCGTATAGCAAATGAACTTAAACGTCATCTGTCAAAGCGCTATATCGCCGCTATCAATTTGAATATTTTCGTTTTAAAAAGCGTTTAAAATGGTGTTTTCTCAAGAACAAAAAGTGTTTATCATAGAGTCCTACTTTAGAAATGGACGCAAGATTGATGGAATATGGAAGTATTCTATTGAGGAATGTTTCATAGAATCAGAATCAATTTCCCAGCGTTGTTGAGTACAAAATTTTTCAAAGTGCAGTTCAGCGTTGTGTTAATGTTTTTCGTGAAATGGGCAGTGTAACAAGAAAAGAAAGAAGCAGCCGACCTAAAAAGCGGACTGAAGAATTAAAAGAAAATGTCCAACAAATAATGGAAAATGCGCCAAGAACTTCTGTACGTGTTTTATCACAAATGGTGGGAGTATCAGTCGGTACCTGCCACACAGTGTTAAAAAAAGATTTGCGTTTGTTCTCCTATCGTTTAACTTGTCAGCAAGAACTTCATGAAGTTGATTTTCCGCGACGGGCTGTATTTTGTGAATGGTTTTTAAACAACTACGGTGAACTTCATAATATCACCTTTTTTTCTGATGAAGCCTGGTTTCATTTAAGTGGTTACGTAAACTCACAGAATATGAGAATGTGGTCTTCTGAAAAACCAGATAACTTTTTTGTCGAGGGCCCTCTACACGCTCAAAAAATTGGAGTTTGGTGTGCTCTCAATCGAAGGAGGATTTATGGACCTATTTGTTTTAATGGTACTCTTACTGCGCAAAGGTATAGAGAAGAAATTATCGCTCCTTTTGTTAACCAGCTGGAAGAAAACGAAATTACAAACTTTTACTTTCAACAAGATGGCGCAAGGGCACATACGGCAGGCGAGACGATGAATATGTTGAGGGAAGTTTTCCAAAATCGACTAATAAGTCTCAATGCTGAACATGAATTTCCACCGAGGTCATGTGATATTACGCCGTGTGATTTCTTTTTGTGGCCTTACCTTAAAAACACTATTTTTGAACTGCCTATTCCTGATTTAAACCATCTGCAGGCTCGACTTATAGACAAGATTCGTGAAATTAACTATACCCCGAGCATCTTAGAAAATGTCTTTAATTCTTGAGGTGATTCAGGTGTGAAAAGTGCTTGGAACAAGGAGGGGGACACTTTCAGCAGCTGCTTTAATTTATTGTTATAACAAGGAGGGGGACACTTTCCGCAGCTCCTTTAATTGTTTGTTATTGTTATCACGATTATTCTTTAAAATAAAGTTATATAGTCATTAACGTTATTGAAACTGACAGCTGCTATACAGCTCGTTGAGAAATGAGGTTAAGTTGGTCGCTATAAGCTACTCCCTACGTCCAATGTGTCAGAGCCAACTTCGACCACGTTTTTATTTGAACGCTCGTTATATTGCAGAAAGGATATATGTGATGTATGGAATTAATATTCGGGATCCTTGGTTAGTATTTATGTTTTATGTGTACACTGACGTTACAGAAAATTTATTGTGGACCTTGTAACATAGATGGCGCTGTTTAAACCCGTCTAATTTTGTCAGTTCCTGTTTCACACCCTCCACCACATGTAGGATCGATACTAATTCTGACAAAGTTGGTCTGAGGAGATACGTGACACTCTAAATCCTGCTTAGAGTTGATATTTTGACACAGGCACGTTCTGACCTGGTTTTTGTATGCTGGCCTTTCGCCTGTTACGGTTTGATTGTACAGCACAGCTAAGTAAATGTTTCTCTTGAAATGCCAACACCACGTTAAATGTAATATAAAAAATGTACGACAAAGTTATATTTCTTAATTTTAGAAAAATTTGTTTCCATGAATTTTTGAAATAAAAATTAGAAATTTATTATATAATTTAGCACAATGATTCCGTAAAAAATTGGAGTCGCCAAAATATCAAATACGGCTTAATTACGGCGCACCGATCTTTGGTTTCTGTTTGGAAAAGCTTCGTAGATTTTTTTCAAAGAGAATAAATATCGAATCACTTAATAACATATTCTTATTTTGTGTTCATATTAAGCATCAAATAGTATTTCAACTATGTAAAAAAAGGCTATGTAAAAAAAGGATTTCTCAAAAATGTACCAAATTTGAATATGATAATAGTTTTGAGGGTTGCTTTCGCTGTACAGTAAAAATAAAACGCTCTCTCAACGGTTATAATAAAGTATTTTATTGAGAACTAAATTGTATAGAAAAAGACGTGTTGACGAGGTGAATGTTCGTTGGAGAGTCCCTGTGTGTGGAGTCGGTCGTAGGTGTATGAGTACGCATCTGGTCGCCGGCGCCAGTCCGCCGTAGACCCTTTCTAGAACGCTAGTGCGTCCGGCGGCGTCCTGCTGGCGCTCTTGACGTAATGCTTAAAAATGGGTCACTTGCGAACATGTGTACCCACAGTTTCAAAATAGTTGGGTAATAAAATACTTTTTTTAGTTCTTTACCACGTAATAAATATTTAAAAAATAACCGTTAATTAACTATTGTTTTCGATTATTTAGTTTACACTACACTTTTTCGAGAAAAAGTTTCAAATAAAAGTTGTTAAAATTAAATTTTCTACAAAGTTGTTACTAAGAAAAATTTCGGTTTTCCCAATAGTTTTCCCATATATTTTTTTTAAATGAAGTACAGATTATGTGAAAATTAATGTTTTAGTCAATTCATTTTTAAATAACAGAAGTGAATTAGAAAAAAGAAAATTGCGGAAAATTCTTGGAAAAAATTGTATAGTTTTCCTAGGTTTGAATTATATAGGTTTTTGAGGGTGTACATGCATTGGTGGTCATAAATATTCAAACCTAGGAAAACTATATAAGATTTTTCAAGAATTTTCCGAAATTGTCTTTCTCTATTCACTTTTGTTATTTAAAAATGAAATGACCTCTAAAACATTAATTTTCACATAATCTATACTTCATTTAAAAAATATACTGGAAAATTATTGAGAAAATCGAAATTTTTCATAGGAGCCATTTGTAGGAAATTTAATTTTGAACAACTATTTGATTTTTTTTTTCGGAAAAATGCACCTTCATTGAGATATTGGCAGTTTTTTGTCAAAAAACGCGAAAAATCATATACCTATACAGGGTCAGATAGAAAGAATGGGTCAACACTAAGCTGGAGACACTAGACACTAAATAAAATATTATGTCACTGGTTTAAGAAATACAGGGTGTTCAAAGTTTAAATTTTATTCAATAATTGAGAATGTTTTGATAGAATGATTCTGAAAATTGTCAATGTTGGGTTTTTTGGTGTGAGAATTACGAATTTGAAGCTTATTTGACGTTACTCCTAGAGGGCGCCAGTTTCACCACATTATTTAGGTAAATCAAAACATATATTTATATAATTTACTTATTTTCATAAGTCTAAAAGAACGTTCAATTCTACATAAAAAATGTACTCTTGTTTAGGTCGCCCAACTTTATCATAATATTTTGGTGTCTAGTATCTCTAGCATAGTGTTGTCATTATTTCTGACTCACCCTGTGTATACGTATTGCTAGGTATTAAACAGTAATAGTTCTTAATTGAAACAATGCGATTATTATTGATGCAATGCATTAAAATACGTTTCATTAAAACTGTCTAGCAACGAACGCCTGTGAACTAACAATACTTTGTAAAGCACGAATNTATGTCTATATACTGGTTGTTGCGTATGTTAAACATATTTTCTGACCTCAAAACGAACACTTTTCTATATCATAGTGAAAAGGTTCGCTCATTTTTTCCTTATTTTCCTGGACTAATTATAAATCTGAAAATGACAGAATAAGGCTACAGGAGGGGATAGGGACGGCACGCCGTACCACGACTTGTTAGTGCCGGAGTAGGGGATGTAACTAGCTAACTAACAGCGGCCAGAATCGTATGTCGTTTACTTAATAATCATTGGATCGGCACGCCGACCTTTCATCCTGAAATGAAAAACGTGTTGATTCAAATAAACAAATATGTTGCGCTTTAAAACAAACTATAACTTGACGATTCAATTACGAATATTACATTGTTAGAACTATAGAACTGATTGAAATGAATTTGGGAGTCAGACCGATTATACATTTTTGTATAAATTTAAATGTAGTGCAATAATGCTCAATTTAATTATGTATGTACTAATTTTCTTGATACTATTGTTATAGTAGAGGCATGTTGTATTTTAATAAATATTAAATAAATTAAATAAAAAAGATACCGACAGAAATCCTCTGTGCATAGCGAGCGCCTGGCTTCTGGCCTTAGCCCGAGACCGGCTTGCCGTACCTATCCCCACTCTCACAGTTTCCGTACTAATAGCATAAGTGTATTGTTTTTTGAAAAATTCAATTATAACTTATTATGACAATTCAAGGATAGTGAGCTCAAAATATTGTATCGTCGCTCGGTAGTCTAGCTGAAAAATAGTCTTGGGAAAATACGATCAAAAAGTATTATGGACAGTGAAGTTGCAAGCCAAAATTTGTTTTTTCATGCATTGTTTTTATTTTTTTCTAAACCAGGTTCGACAGGCGGTTGTGTTATTTTGTTTTTTTCTTATGCCATATTTAACATACTCTTAGGCTAGCTTATACATTTGTTGAAAATATGGATGTTCCTATTTTTATGCAGCAAAACCTAAAATATAGAAATAAAGACATGACGTCATGACTCCCTCGAATCCGATTATTATGGATTACTACTAAATTCTCTTGTGTTCCAATAATTTTCAGCCCACATCCATTTTCCGTACAAACAAATATTGCTTGAAGCCCACGGAACATAAATTCCTTTCCAGAAAATTATTTTATCTCTCAGCCTACAGTTAAATTAATTGCAATTTGCTTACGCGGATAATCATTTCGCTAGATGTTGGCACCTCCAGATATGAATTGTTACAATGTATGTTGGTAGGGGATGATTAACTGTTATTGGTATTGTCTGAATTTTGGTGCGGATTAAATCAAAGTGGATTATGGGCCCAAAGCGCGGCAAGCCGTATAATGCGCGCTTTTCGGCGTTAGTGCATACCTTCGCGTGGCTTGCAATTTAAATTCGGTTAATACCGTCGTAATTATATTTACATAATTAACGTCGTTGCGTATAATGAATCGAATCGCGTTCCGAACCAATTGCGACAAGTATACGCTGATGTATTTTAATGTGAATTTAAATTAAATTCTCTGCAAAAAACGGTACATAGTGCGAATTGCGTAGGTACTATATTAAATATAATTTTAATGATTAGCGTTATTCCTGCACTCAGGAATTAAACAATATTGCTAAAAATAATGAATTATTAATAAATAATAAGTGATATTATGGATACGTATATTAGTCACAATAAAACGTATGACTGTACAGTGGTACAGTTAGCTACCACAAGTAAACAGGTTGCACTTTTTACCCCGCCGATTTGCGTTACGAACAAAGACGAAGTGTTCCGATGCTGCACATCGTAAGCAAATCACTGTGTTGGTGTGGTGTCACTCCATTGTATTATTTGTGAAGATGTAATCATTATAACTCACCTTGCTGCATCAGTTGTTCTTTTCTTGGTAAAAAAAAGGATTACAATGTATTACCTAGCTCACAAATTCATGATTCTAATTTTACATGATTTTTATTTACCAATGTTGTGGTTATAAGAATGATATTTTAAATTATTATAAAATTATATTTAAAATAAACCATTATTCATTTCATTAATGATCATATATTTTTTATGTAAATAGATCCTTTGATTTTGCAGTTTGTATAGAATAAAAGGCAGGTAAATATGCAAAAAATTAAGTTATTATTTTTAAGATTCCGGAAATATTTTCTTCATTATAAACTTTTGGTAAAGTATATTCCCATCTCATGAGTAGATCCATATGATGTCATGAAAAATAACTTGTAAGAAGTATTATTTTTGCATGTATATTGTTGTTTAATTCAACCCTAATTATTGTTTTTTATTGTGACACACCTACTAAGTACACTTGTGTATTTGAAATAAAATTAAAGTATTAATATTAAATAAGCACTTTCCTAAAAGGAGCTGATTTAAAATATAACTTATAATATAAATTATAACTTTTACTTATCCAAAAATCTAACAGGGCAATTTATGACAAAAATTAATTTCACTAATAGTTTCGTAATACTGGTTTCAAAAGAAAACTTTACTTTTGTGTTATATATCTAGGTTAGTTTCTTGGTCGGGTAAAAGCATTTGGTCACAAGAGCTTATTTTATAACATTTTAATTTCATTTTCACTGGAAAAATACACCAGTAATAAACTAATGTATACTGTATTTTGGAAATGATTACATTGACACACCTACCTACACTGTAAAAAAATCGGCGTGAGTGCGAGTAATAAAGATACGGACTGAAATGATTGAACCATTTTCACTCATTTTGATAATTTGACTCATTCGTGGTAATATTTGAACTAAAACTGAGTTAAGTAAACTTTCCAGATAAACTCGCATTTGGATTACTTGTACCTAAATCGGAGTACATGTCCTAATTATTGAGTGACACCACCCCATCCTATGGTTGTCGTGCGTTGTCTTTAGGCTTCTTTCGCGAATATCTGACTTATAGTTACTATTTCTATCTCTTTTGATCTTAGTTATCATATTAAATTTCTTCATTCATTCATACTGCGCATATATATAAGACTTCACTCGCGAAAAAAGCCATTTGTCTATTCCCATCGTCCCCATTAGGTCATTTCGTGGCGTGGTGTACGGCGTGTAGTGCTGTCCGTTTGACTCGATCAGATCTGGTTTAAGTTCAGTTCAAGGTCAAATGTAGGGAATCAATTGCCAACAAAGCAAATCTACATATTTATAAGTTTTTGAGGTCGCTGAATCCGAATCTGATGTCCGTTTGACTCAACCAGATCTGGGTTGAGGTCAAATATGGAGAATCAATTGAAAACAAAGTAAACTTACATATCTATACGTTTTGGGGACCGTTGAATCCGAATCTGATGTCGGTTTGAAGCGTTCAGGTATTTTAAATACTTTCTGATAGAAATAGATCAATCAACATACGAAAGATACTTCCATAAATATTTTGGTTTTAAACCTAAGTGAAAATTTTGATTGGGTTTGAGCAGAGAGGAAGGTTTCACCAAGAGATTAAAGAAGGGAGAAATTTGGGTGGCAATGAAACTATCACTGATATTGCTAGTGATACTAGTGATGACGAATATATTCCATATCACGTTGTGAAAAAGACAGGAACAATATCACAAAAAAAAGTAAATGATGTTCGAGATTTGGGCCTGGCAGAGAATGGAACAGAGTTCCCAATATCATGGCTAAAAAAATACTAAGCAAGCCGGAAAAGAGAAAGCTTTTTACTATCAGGACAGAAATAAGGAATATTTTTCTAACGATGAAGAATTTTCCTTAGGTTACTACAATGATATTGTTGGATAAATCATTTCAAACATGGATGTTATAAACCTATCGCACATTGAAATAAGAGTACCATATTTTGAGGACACGAATAACATAAAAGGCTTTACATTTGAACTTGAACTGAACTTAAACCAGATCTGATCGAGTCAAACGGATACCGGATTCGGATTTGGCGACCCCAAAAACGTATAGATACGTAGGTTTAGTTTGTTGACAATTGATTTTCTACATTTGACCTTGAACTGACCTTAAACCAGAGCTAATCGCGTCAAACGGGCACCTGATTCGAATTCAGCGACCCCAAAAACGTATAGATATATAGGTTTAGTTTGTTGACAATTGATTTTCTACATTTGACCTTGAACTGACCTTAAACCAGAGCTAATCGCGTCAAACCAACACCGGATTCCGATTCGGCGATCCCAAAAACGTGTAGATACATAGGTTTAGTTTGTTGACAATTGATTTTCTATATTTGACCTTAAACTGACCTTAAACCAGAGCTAATCGCGTCAAACGGACACCGGATTCGGCGATCCCAAAAACGTGTAGATACATAGGTTTAGTTTGTTGACAATTGATTTTCTACATTTGACCTTGAACTGACCTTAAACCAGAGCTAATCGTGTCAAACGGACACCGGATTCGGATTCAGCGACCCCAAAACCATATGGATACCATGATCTTGTCTTTCGGACCTGACACTTTTTTTTTGTGGGGCTGTGTTATTATTCTGAACTAATCAGAAATTATTACCATTAATATTCTAGTTGGCGTTTTGTATGTTTGCTACTAACTAACATCTAAAGCGGTTATTAAGTTAGCAGAACTACTTCCAATAGTTTTACAAAGGCTTTTTTTACTTTTGCTTAAATAGCTAGTCAAAGTTTTTTGTTTGTACAAGGACATGATGACAATATTTACGGATACATAAACATAAAAAAGATAGAGCTTGTATCATTTCGTGTATTCATCAGACTTGTCAGTACTTATCGGTGCAAAATGACAACATAAAGCAGCTCTTTATATTTTGATTTCTGTTAAATAAAATCCATGTGCAGAAATGTGCCCACCTCCGAGCAATAGTTTGTGAAAAATCTATTCTATTTGCCAACTCCAATCTTTCTTCGTTCAAACATCATAAGCCGTCTTTAAACAGGCCACTATGGAATAGCATAGCTTGATCAACTAAAAAGTAACATAATATTTAATAATTGTGAGCACCGTGAAATTGTAAATTATACGTTTGTAAATGTCTGCAAAGACATGTCGCCAAGACCAGCAGCTTTAAACGACAACTGTTTCTGCGATCTTCTCATCATCAAGAGCAAGTTTTTCTTGACAGCTTGGTTGTAATCGATCCAGTTTGTTTCGTTATAGATGACATCACACAACGCAGTACTCTAAAATACGTAGGTAACTAGGAAGTATTTTCTTTAATATAATTTTTACTTTTTGTACCTCAACCAATATTTCATTTGTGTACTTATAGAAGATGTATAACTGCGAAATCATCAGTGTAAATACATAAAGGGGACGCAGAATGTTGTAAATGGACTTTTCCTAAAACAAAGCCACTAATATAAGATAGTTGTTAACAGATAAATCCTCTATTATATCTATCTGTGAGATAGTTATTAAAATTATTACACTGATCAGCTGAAACAAGTAAGCGGCCATTTCAAAGGTGTTGCTAAAATATAGTACGAGTATAAAAATACTTGTAGCAGATTGCACTATTTCCATTAACCTAGAAACATATTTGATCAAGATGTTAATATTTTGACAAGGGCATTCAATACTTTGTAACCTGCTGATGTTCCTGTGCACATTTGACCACAGAAATCAACAAGCCATCATCATAACTGACGTTGCGTGACTTTCGCACCACCTCGCTGTTTTTTTCCAGGTCCCTTACGTTTTGCTGCAAAATTTTTATTTGACCCAACATGAAAATACAGATAGCGAACATTATTATTTCCCTGTACAATGTGATGTTGATTACACTCATGAAGAAGACGATGTCGTTCAGTATCATCAACCAGTGGTATTTCCGTATAATGGAAGGTAGCCAAATTTGATATATGGTTCCTTTGGTCAGGGGGCAAACGTCAGTTGGTTGGCCGAATAAAGAATACCTTAAAAATAATGAGTTTTATATACCATAAGAGTTGGAAAAAAATACATAACAGTTCTGGTCTTGGTTTCCGTCCAATTTTTCGCTTGGTTGAACCAAAACTCAACTTCACTTCAAAGCAGATCTATTTACCTTACAGAAGTCGTATACCAATAAACAGATGTTCCAAGAAGGACTATTGTAACGAAAAGACTGACCCTGTTGTTCAATTTTGCGTACTTAAAGTAGATCTTTTGCTCCACATCGGTTGTGCTTCGCAGTTTAATGTCTTCGTAGTCCAAAATATGGTCGAATACTTTCTGCATCTTGTTTGAATACTTTGACAAGACCATCATGATGATGTTGTTGGTGTACTGAATGTAGAAGCATATGAGTTCTATCACTCTACTCTTGCAGTCCCATTGTATAGGAATTGATACCATCACCAACTGTGTCATCACCACGTAGTGCCAAAAAATGAAGTAGGAATAAGCTTTGTACATAACTAAAAATGCGTTGTTGTAGCTCTTAAAGTTCCATGTTCCTATTAGAAGCATGATGTACTTCTGCAGTTTCAAATGGATCGTTTGAGACATGACTGTGGACTGTTGAAAGCTTTTACGTGTAATTTGAACTTTTATTTATATGGCAAGGCAATTTGACGTGAATATTTTATTTGCTTTACTTCAGATATCTTTAAATGCGAGTTAATTACCATGCATCTGGCTTTTTCTCAGGGATAATTGCTTTTTTATTTCTTAAACGGTGTATCAGCATGTGGAAAGTAAATTTATCTAGAACAGTGGTGGCTCGTCTAATGTGAAAAAATGTAATATTTAATGAAAGAATAATGTCATACATAATAGTTATTTACTGTATAATTGTTTTAAGTAGCATTTTATCCACGAAAGAATGTTTAATATAAAAGGCAATTAAAACACGAATGCAATACAACGTTTTGTTCATAATCACATCACATCATATTTGCGGAGTCAGAATTATTGGAATTTAATAAAAAAATATTCGCACGACTTGATATTTTTTACTAGTACTCAATGAAACTGGTTGCTATGGTACGTTGTTTATTATCAATTATTTAATAAACAGTTCTATCTGAATTTGGTAAAAATGCAAGAAAATAATTGTGTATTGTGTTGGCTGTTCCATAATTTTCCATTTATTACCAGCGAAATCCAGAGAACATTGCGAAGAAATGTTCGCCGAATTTAACTAATGGAGGGAAAACGGAGAGTAATGACAATAAATGAAGGTCATGTTATCGAATTTTTTAAATTTGAAGAAAAAATAAGCAATTTCATCTATGGTCGAAGTATTCGATGTTGAAGGCTACTATAAAGGTCTACAAAAATATAGATATTGGAAAATATAATAAGCTTACTGTTTATTTGAAGAATGAATCGAAAGAATACAAAACCAAAAAAGTTTCAGTATTGCAAAGAGCACATATTGAAGAATTTTGGGGCTTCCGATAAAGAATAATTAAGAATGTTTAAGGTAATATCTCTTTACCTTTTACATGTTGTTGGGTTACTTTGAATTATTTTGCGTTGCACTGATAATGGGGGTTTCTGGTGCCTGTCGATGCAGCGAACTGACAAATTTGAGAATTAGTGACGTACAGAACGTTGGCAGTTATCTACGTGTTTCAGTACCTGACACCAAGACGGGCATTTCAAGAAAATTTACAATTATAGAAGAAGAATTTTGCGTGAATGCGGTTGAAATATACAGAATATACATTTCTCTGCGCCCAATTCGCCTAACACAAGACAGATTATTTTTACCACACATCAATAAAAAATGTACTTCTCAGCTTGTTGGAATAAACACATTGGCGAAGGTACCCTAAATAGTTGCTTCATTCCTGAATATCGCAAATCCAGGAGCATATACTGGCCATTGTATGAGGCGCACTTCAACAACTTTATTGGCCAATAACGGTGCTGATCTTACAACCATAAAACGGCATGGTGGATGGAACAGCTCCTCTGTAGCAGAAAGTTATGTTGAGGATCCTCATCCGTAAAAAGCACCTTGCTTGTAAAATCCGTTCTTGTCCTTTTGATATCGAAACCACTGGCAAAATTCCACACGGGGCTGAAAATTATTTAATGCCTGAACCCTTGGTACATGATAGGGCGTTCCCGTAGTACGGTACTGTTAATTTTATACGCCGGCTAAGTAATACTGCAACACACAACACACGTGCACAAGATGCACAGGTTCCTCTTACATTTATGGTTAATTTTCTTAATTAATTTTCTCGACAACAGAAGTATTTAAACCATCAGCTGCTTAATAAAAGTTGCTCGTTTCCGTGCTCTCATCACCCTTTTCAAGGAATGCACTTATTTCAGAAATACCCTGTGTAATAAAGAGTTTCGTTGTTCATAATGAGGGCATTATATTATTAGTTTAAGTAACAATAATACTGAAACTTAATACTTTTATAAATTAATTAAATACTTAATTCTACTTTTGCTTTGATACCTTCACCTAATGGTGTTTAGGGTCTGATCCATTTAGGAAATAGGCAACCATCAATACCCGACTTCTTACGATTACTTAAGGACTACTAAGTATTCGTATTACCGTTCTTGCTTGTGTTGGGTGTAGCATAAACCAATCAGTGACAATTTATTAGAGCTCGTCTCTCCCGATTCCACAGTTCGGCCAACTTGATTGTCACAGTGACAAATGGAAATTAATTGAAATAGGATGCAGGTAATTCAACATAGTCAAGATAGTACGGACGGGCCATTGTTTTAGAACTCTCCTTAATAGGACCAGCCATTAGCGATTGTCCTTGAATCTGATAGCACCGCCAATTTAAGGTAATATACAACGTAGCCTTCAAACACTTAAAGACGCATCCAAATATTTTATAAAAATAGAAATCAGCTGTATATGCATAAAAAATGTCGCGTTTTGCGTAGTGACAACAGCTGATTTTTATTCTGTAGTTGTTTTTCTTAATTAGTGCCGAATAAGCATGATGGCAATCGACAAATAGCCTGTAGAACATTTCTGCACTGAAAAAAAAAGTATTTGAATCAAATGAGTAGATAGTTTTAAATGGAAATTATTTGCGGTAAATGTTATTTTATTCTATTCAAATGTATATGTATACTTTCGCCAAAGTATGTGAAATATTTGTTGTAATCTATAATTTTTCTTAGAATTTATATTGTTTGTAAATATATATAATTTAATTCAAATCTTTTATAGTTTTGATGTATGTACATATATTTAAAATTTAGCAATATTAAAGAAATTATTCAAGACAAATGTAGCATATTATAATCAAACTTATGTTTCCTTGAAATAAAATTGTAGCAGGTCACATAATGACGTAGGTGGTAAGTAGCACGATAGATGGAGCAGCTGGATCGTTCTAAAGATATAATGATGAGGACCATCAATAAGTCCCTAACCGACCTATATCTGGTTGGCTAAACATACAAACGATCCTAGCTATTGTACTAGGTTTTATGAGATTGAAACAAAATATTTTTTATTACTGAGAAATATTTATATCCAATTATATTCCTAAAATAAGTATAGACAATCATTTGACAAAAACTATTCAATTTTGTATTAAACAAACGATACATTAATATACAATACAAAACAAGTTTCCATAAAATCTATGTAGATCATAAAATTAAGAATAGAATTCGTTTAACCGTAACTATCGAATATTTATTTTAAATGCTGCCTATTTTTAAAGTAAAAAATTATATTTCTGGGTAGAAATTTAAAATATTTAAGTAAATAAATAATTTTCTTGGAAGAAGAAAATATTTTCTTGTATCAAATGTTGTATATTTGAAGCAAGAAATTTTTTTTGCGTGTAACAGGTTTACGGTAAGTAAGAACCACCTATAGTTAATGAAACAAACCATCTAAAGTTATTTGATATTAGAAATAATTATTTTAAATTGAAAACATACTGCAAAACGTTTATAATCGAATTAAATCGAGAGCAAATATTTCTCTTAATGGATGATCCTTGCTGTTTCCTACACTGAGAGAAAAATTAAAGTAACAAATATTTAGCAAATCTTTACAAACGTACTTCATAACTTTAATAATGTATCTTTCAGCATAACTTTTGGGTATTGCTCTGTTCAAAACACAAAAGCAAAGGGTCTATTTGAAAAAATGTAATGCATAAAGATTTTTTTATAATAAATAAATAAGTAGAACATAAAATTTTATAAGTATAAAGATTATGCAACAAATTAAAAATATATGTTTGCTGCTAAATGAAAAATCTTGTGAAACTAATTTAATTAATTCCAGTGAGATATGTTGTAACCATTTCACTTTTTATTTCTTACAGAAAATAGATAATGCAACAAAGTGATGTATAATAATTACTACATGTTCGTAATTGACATATCTCATTGTTATCGTATTCCATAATAATTAAATACAAATACAAAGGGCACCATGAAGTGTATAAATCATACAGGCACATATGACGCTAACTTAAAATTATGCTTACGATGTACACCATCATCAGCACCATCACCAATTGTCTTTGTTCGTGTTTACTTGTGGTAGCTATTTGTACCACTGCGCATAATAATGTATATAGTTGTGACAATAATACAACTACAATACAAGTTTCAATAATCTTATTTATTACTACAATTAGCTACATAAATGAATTTTAAATGCAAATGAAACATTTAACATGGTTTTTCTGGTTGTTGTACCTATGTACTTGTCACCGACAGTTACAAACTTGTAATGCACTTTCTTAGCCTTATCTAGGATTTTTTCCTATTTTTGTTGTTCTCGGGCTACACTCTATGGGGGCGAACCCGCTATTAGAACCCCTAGGCTCGCCCTAATGTTAATTTCAGTTATTCTTGTTGGTTTACACTTTACTAGTCACAATTGATCTAATCATTATCAGAAGTATGCATGTAGAAATTTTATTTTACTTATGGGTAATATTGAAAATACCTACGACTCTTAAAAAAATAATTACTGTGATTTAATTTTTTAGCAATTAGTTAATTGTGTTTTCTCAGTGTAGTTAAACCTTCCTAATTGATTTTATAAATACCTGATCGAATTTGCTCGAGGGCACAAGTGAATGATGATTTTAGGCTAAATTTCCAATTTGAAACGCAATTACAATCGCCATTACTTTTAATGGCGGTTTTGGATTTCCGGCGACATTTTGTTACACCGAAACTCATCAATTTAGGGGTTTTTATAGCTCAGGAGACGTTTACTTCGATCTTTATTTATTAGGACAATTTTGTGGTGGCTCGTAGTATCTCTTTTAGATGAAAATTTTCGTCGAGACCACATGTGAATATGTATGGGAATATTTTTATTTTACAAGAGCGTACAGATCCAGTAGTTCAGGAGGTCAATCCACGAAGAGTAGGAAAAAATAACTTAATTTTGCTTCTTAGTCTAGAAGAACGCGTTAAATTAATACACAGTGACGTAATAACTTGCTTTCTGCAAAAATATAAAAAATAAACGAGTCAATCCAGTACCAGATGGCGATCGACGGTTTCGTTTGATAATATAGTCTCCATCTCCACTTTCTCATAAAGCTATAGTCGTAAAGTAGGGCATAATTACTTTACGGATTTTTCTGAATTCAATCCGGCTTTTAGTGGACTATAATGCGTAGTAGGGAAAACATTGTTATAAGGAACTTCACTTGGCAGGCAGCCTTTGCGTCAATATGAGAGTGCCACTTCCGAAATAGACTTCATTCAAATACGCCCTTTTATTTTCTGAAATAAAATATATAAATTACATCATTATATCCTAACCTATTGTGAGAAAATCAAGGGTTTTCGCCATATTTGAGGTTATGTTATACCATGAGGTATTTTTTCTCCACAAAACTCGAAATGACATTTGAAAGAATTACTATTCTCCTTCAAAATCTATCTATCTATCTTCATTCGAATATATTCTTTCCTTACAGAGGAATCATTTGTGTAATTGTCAATGAACAGTATTAGGTGAAAATTCAAAACAGTTTTTGTGGTCGCTGATTACGAATCTGGCGGATCCAATATGGAGGATGGAATAAAAAAGGTTATTTTGATTTTTGTAATTCTGATTTCAGATTTGTAACCACCAACCCCGAATACCGGTCTTCACCTGATGTTACTCATTTTACGTTTGTCGACGCATAAACCAGACTAATCAATTCCAACAAACGGTTTCTCGGAGAGGAAAGAGATATTTGAACGATTCAACAAGGATTTTGAAGATGCAGTAATCAGTAGGGGAAATCACCTCGTGATGTAACATAACCTTAAATGTGGCGAAAAATACGTGTTTTTAGCACATTTAGATTAGTATTTTGTTCGGAAAATTACGTCGTGATGTAACATAACCTTAAATATGGCAAAAACGTGTTTTTCGCACTTTTGGGTTGAGATTTTGTGGGGAAAATTACGTCATTATATAACATAACCTTAAATATGGTGAAAAATAGTGTTTAGGTTAGGATATTTCGAAAACCTGACGTTATAGAGCAATTCTGAGGATGAATTCGGATTCAAACTGTCAAAAACCTTAGCGAACGTAAAGCCAGGTTTGTGATTTAAAATTTTGTCTGTGTAATTGTGGTAACATGTAACATAAAGATGGGCACAAAACTTAAGGGCACCTTCTGGAGATGAAGCGATGTCATTTCAAATCTACTTGAATATATGCAATCTTTTTTTTAATTTGTTAAGTATCTTTGATATTTACTAATTTTCTCGGTTCCAATTTTACACATATTCGGAGCTAACTAAAACGCATATTTAAAAAAAAAATCAAATTTAATTTTTTTAAAAGGCAAGGTAGTATTAAAAATTGTTCTATTGTTATGTAAATTTGTTACATACTTTCCTTAAACTTGAGAATATAGAAAAATTTAAAATTAAGGAGACAAAAGATAAAAATGGATAAAATGCAACAAATAAGCAACTTCAGACAATAATATCCACAAATATGTAGAGTCGCGAATATGTCCCGTTTATAAAAAAGTTACCAAGAACGACACAGCCAACTACCCGCCCATAGCTATAAGTAACTTCTCTAAAATCCTAGAAATAATCTAACACAATCGACTTTATATTCATATTGAAAAACATACCAACATGGAATTTATTGCTGAAGCTTTGGATGCAGGAATTCAGATTGATGTTGTGTATCCTGATTTTTGTAAAGTTTTCGATCGGCCTGATCATAATTTATTAACATTTAAATTGGAGTCAGATGCTCTGTTATCTCTGTTTAAATATTATTTTAGTAATATATACCAATTTGTGCAGTATCGTGGCTTTCAATCATGTAAACATCATTCAGGAGTTTCGCAAGGATCAATCCTGGGGCCACTGTTGTTTGCTATTTTTATTAATGACTTAATTGAATGCCTACTGCAACTATTTACCCTATGCGGGTTGTTGTTAGAAGTTGAATCTTCTACCGATTGTACTAGATACAAGATAATTTTGACGCACACAGTTATATAAGACTATGTATTTCAGTCGATGCAAAATTAACCTAGATTTTGAATATAAAATTGGTGAATCTTTTCTAAATAGAGTTTCGCCATTTACTGACTTTGGTGTTACATTGATACTAGATTTAACTTGACGAGCATATTAGTTTAGTAACCAAATCTGCTTTTATAAATTTTAGTTTTATTTTGCGTAAATTTAAGGACTTTCAGAATGTAAAGGTGCTAAATATATTGTATGCAGCATTTGTGTGATGCAAACTCGAATATGCATGGGTTGTTTGGAGTCCCATTTATAATGTTCATAATATTCAATTAGAGAAAGTACAACCGATATTTTTAAAGACTATTCATTTTATTACTTATGGATTTACTGCTTTCTTTAATCTTAACAGTCTCTGCCGTAGACGAATTACGTTGTCAATTATATTCCTTTTTAAAATTATAAATAATACCTTAAATGCAGACTCATTGGTTTCAAAGATTTTATATCATGTTCATAGACTTAATTCTAGATTTCACTCTGCTTTACAATTACCCACACCTCGTACAAATTTACTAATAGCATCTTCCCTATATCAAATGATTTCCAATTATCAAAAGTATGAAGATCGACGATATATTTTTTCATTTTGTAACATAAAAAAATTGTTTGTCTAGCAAATGTTATCATTATCTTGTATGTGTTAGTTAGCTTATTTGTTTATTTGTCTGTTATTGTTTGTATTGTAAGTTCTTTTGTCTGGATTTTATATTTCCATTGCTCTATTTTGTGTAGTACTTATATCTTTATATTTAATGTTAGTTGTCTTTTTTTAATTTAGTTAAGGTTTTGTTTTACCATATCCTGTAATTGACATTTTGTTTCGTTAGATATTGTAACTTCTAAATAAATGAATGAGTGAATGAATGAATGAATGAATGAATGAATGAATGAATGAATGAATGAATGAATGAATGAATGAATGAATGAATGAATGAATGAATGAATTATTGAATGAATGATGTAATAAGTGTTAAGGAAATGTTAAAAAACAAATATTTTTGCTACTGTTGCGTCTTTAGTTAACTATCAAACTCCTGGTAACTGTCCCCTTGCCCCCCCCCCAAGCGGAGCACATGTTAGCTAGTTGTTAATGATTTTTTTCTAACAGATAATAAATATTAAAGTAGCAAACTCTACTTTTTAAACAAATATATTTGATAAAACTACTCTAAAGACGTTACTCTCGATTCTCTTCAATGTAGATACGAAGAACAGAAACAAAAATAAAAATAGGATGCCTCAGAGTGCATTTCTATATTTCTTATTCAATAATAATTTATCGGGAAAACTTTTATATAGACCTGCATGCACTACATATCCACGTCATGCTTTCCGAAGAAAGAAAGGAAAGTAAAAAGAATAAAATTTTAGTCTCCCATCAGTGTCTGGGTGTATTGATCCGAATCATTTTCTCCAAAAGTGTATTCTGAAAGGATCTTATTACTCTCCTTAATGATTTATCTATTTTTAAGAACAGCACTCTTTTATAGCTCATTTTATAGAACTCCATTTTTAATTGCCTCTAGTATTTCATCATCTCTGCGTCTGAAAGGTACCGGGGATTGATTGGTGAAAATTTTATAATCCTTTTTCGTTATTGCGATTATCCTTCAATTTTTTATAACTTAAAGCGTATCAAATCCGCTCCTTAATTTAAATCCTCGAAATTCTCAAATTTATTATTCTCAGTTCTCTGTCGGAATCCCTTTAAGAAAAAATATTTAAAAGCTTCGTAGTTAAGGGAATGGAAATTTACCTAATTTTCCACTACGATTACTCGAAGAGAATACTACAAAGGAAAAACCTAAGGCGTAAAAGAAAATCTAATTGTATTATCCACCAGTTTAATTTTTCATATCTTTTACGATTATTTTTTTCCAGGTTTCCAAAAAATTTACCTCACTTCTGAATGAGAAATCCTTAAAAAAATACAATTCCAGTAAAGAAAAATAAAATTTAATCGTAATGGAGTCAGAGCTCTCAACTTTATGGACAAAGAACTTTTCTCAATATTTCAAGTCGATATTACAGATACCTAGTTCAAATCAATCTAATTTAAATCTTAACTACTGTAGTGATTTATCACACTGAAATAACTGTTACTGTTGTTACTTACGTGTTTGGAACATTCCTCATAGCTCTATGTCGAAGAAAAATGATAACTAGTGTTCCATTTCCCAAAACCCCTACAATGAAGATGATGAAGAATAGCACAGGAACTATGTAAGTCTCTGGTCTCTGTTCGTAGGGCGTATAGGAGTTCTCAGGGTCCACAGTTGAAGCTATGGGGTAGTCCAGGTCGGTGTTATCTGAAAAAAAAGGAATAATCGGATAAATATATATTCCGGTATCTTAAACTCGAAAAAATATTTCCTCTATTGAAAATGTAGATTAATTTTTCCTATTTACTAGATATTGGTGGAGTAATTCAATGCTACTTGGGGTATGTACCCATAAAGTAGTTGTTTCGCGCAATATCAACCGTTAGAAGACTTGTCTGAGAGGTTATAGTTTGCATATTCAGATTTCTGGTATCGACAAAACATTCTTTGACTCATTTTAACGAGATTTTTTTAAGAAACTATTATGTAATTTATTAAAATTATATAATTTTTTAAAATTAATTAAATAATGAGTGCAAAAATAAATCACTCATAAATGATTAATTAGGATATACAGTTTTGAAGTTGAAATTAATTCACTTCGCTGGGCCTCCTCCTGTCCTGTCTGAGACCAGCCAGCTGAGACCCACCGCCGCCGGCTAAGACCTATTCTTCTGACTGTAACAAAAGCCGGGACGCGCAGTCAATTATTTATTAGTTCTCGGAATGATGGGTCAAAAAGTAAGATATTTCAGTCCACACAAATTATCGGAGGAATAGTTTTCAAGTAGTAGGTCGCCAAGACAGTCCTTCGGAGAAAATTGCCAATATTTTAACAAGTTCACTTAGACTGTCGAGGCCATGTGTTAAGCGTCTGGGAGGCGCCGCGAAGAACCCCATCTTTTTAATAACGCGCGAAACCGCGAGAAAGAGCGTAGAGATTCCACATTAGAATTAAATTATATTGTAAAATTGATAGTAATTCGAAAAGAGAGTATACCTAAGCAGCTGGGTTTTTTTGACGGATTTTTCCTAGCTATAAGAGCAGATTAAATGAGATCGACTAATCCGTCCCGTAATTGCTACGCGGAGTCATAGGGGAAGGCTAGGGTTACTAGTAAGTCATATAATTATTCTTATATAAATGTAAGTCAAGTCAATTAGATAATTATTAACCTAATTATTAAGGCATGCCGATATTCAGGGTTCTCGCCAATAAGATGAGACCCGAAACTTCTGGACCCAAGAAATGGGCGTGGTCAAAGCGAATTGTGGAATTCAGGAAGGATCTCGAAAAAGTCAATTCGTCCTTAGGTTTCACATTGAGCAGACTAATTATTAACTTTAGAGTCTCTTGCTAATTAATTAATTTTGATAGTTTTTCTAAATTTTGTATGAAGCGCGCATTCCCTGAATCTCGGTACGCTGTCGCGTTTGAATCAATTAATTAATAATGTCGTCGAGCCGTTGCGTTGTTATTTTGTTTGTTTGTTTTGTTTATTGTTAATAAAACCCTTCCTGGAAGTTTTGTGTTTCCTTTTGTTTTTCCAACTTCAGTGCTACCCTGTATAGCCAGCCACTGGATTACATTCCACGTAAGCAATGAAAGAGTAAGTGTCTGAAATGCATTTTCTGAACATACAACATTTCTAAGTTTCCACGTGTTAATTAAAGTATAACGATAACTAAATAAACTCCCTTTCGAGAATAAAATAGTAACTCTTTCGAGAATTAAATAGTAACTCTTTCGATAATTAAATAGTAACTCTTTCGAGAATGAAATAGATAATTAATTAAAGGTATATAACGAGCCCCTATCAAATATAATCACATATAAGTAAAATGATCAAAATGCCCAATATGAAAATGTACTCAATAATTTCACTCAAAGACTCTGAACCTTTATTGCTTTCACTCACAAAGAATTTTTTATAATGTAAATATGGAATCAATAACCAAATTAGTATCAGTAGTATAGTGGGAATTATGGACAAATAGTAGTTAAAAAATATAAGTTTTCTAAATTTCAACGTTTCGTTCCTTTATTGCGACATCTTCAGGATTCTTAGATAGAATGAACAAGGCATGTTACACAAAATTTAAAAAAATATTATCTACTAATATTAAAAGAAATTGATATCAAACAAGGCGATAAAATGCGTAAAATTAGTAGTAACAATGATTGTAAAAAATAATAATTTCAACATAGGGAGAAATACTATTTAAATACATCAAAACTCCAAAATAACCAGTACAGCCGAAATTCTGGAGTTCTTCAATGTCTCTCAGTATCTCCGCCACTGGCTTGCTTCATTGTATACAAATTCAGTGAAATTTTACTCTTACTCAGTTAAATCACCAGCTCAAGTTTCATAAATCTACGTCTAACATCTTCTAACTTTAAAGATATGTTATACTTTTCGAAAATTATAGCATCAAATGTATCAAACAGAAATAAGGCTACAAAACCAACTGAAAACACGAAATAAACCGTCCAATAAAGCTTTCCAAACTCTCGATATGAATGGAAAACGGATTATCATACTTCAAATACCTTTCATATAAGCGTCTTGAGAGACAGCGCAAATCAAAGTAATCTCGACGAAGCCTTGTCACTCCTCAATATGCAGATGTGCAATTTTATACGGCATCACAGGAATTTTCGCGCTGTTACCGCGTCTTTGACTTGCCTCGCGCTATGATGAATGCGAAGCGTGCGGCTGGTACAAGCAAATGCAATTCTGCATCTGCATATTTCAACGGACTAGTTCTGTTTGGAGAATGAGCATTTTTGAGATTCGATACCTAACCGTAAGTATAAATAACATAATGTACACTGTATAAAATCGGCGTGAGTGGAAGCAATGAAGGTTCAGATTTGAGTGAAATTATTGAGTACATTTTCACTCAAAATTGGGCATTTTGATGATTTTACTCATTTGTGATTATAATTAAACTAAAACTGAGTACTTTCACTTAAATATAGATACCCGTTAAATAAATTCTTCTCGTAAACTCGTATTTGGTGCATTTGTGCCTAAATCAGAATAAATGTCCTGATTACTGATTGAGTTTAAATGTATATTAATTTCGAGTAACTTGAATGACGTCGTGAAGATGGCACCACTTACATATTGCCTCTGTAATCTCGACCATAGTTGATAGTGGTCCGTTAGATGCTTAGATCAGGAAAATTAGTGAAAAAAAAAGAGAAATTCCTATCCGCGATATTATTGTAAAATTGTCTAAAGGAACATAATTACATATTATAAGACATCTCTCATCTCGTGAATCAAATAATTTTAATAGCTAACTTTTCTATTTAAACAAATAAGTGAGGAAAACAGTTTTTTCACTTTGCAGGGAAAACCATCAATTTTAGCGAAAAGTGACTCTCAGACAACTTCTAGGAAATAAAATTATCTACAAAATGAGACTCGTTAAATTAAAATTGGTTAATAAACAAAAAAGTTATTGCAAAACAACAAAAAAGAGCCCATTTTTTATTTTGTTTAGAACTATCGCATTTATTGTTAAAATTTTATAAAACCTATGACAAGTTGAGGGCTTCATCATACTTTAAAAGTGTGCCAAAAGTGGGTGCTGTAGGTGCAATAGTTTTCGCATAATTCAATTTGTTTATAACGGAGGCTACAAAAGTTATGAAACTGTACTGTAGGGTTAAATTTCAACTAAACATGATTCTGAAAGCGTCATTGTAATCTTAAAGACGTAATTAAGTGACCTATTAAAAAATATCACCGTTTTTGACACTAACATTCTCAAATTGTGCATTAAAAAAACGTGCGTTTTTCGCTTATATACAATTTGAATAAAATTGTTGCTATTTATGCTACCTCACCGAAAATAGATGCAATGGATAGCTGGCAAAAAAATACAAATTATAAAAAAGCACCCTCCCTCTACGACCAACAGGAGTCAAGATAAGATTTTTTATTTAAATTGTAGTGCAATTATTTAAAAACATTAACTCTTGAATTTTTCGCAAAATAAAGTTTACGACGTAAACTACGGTTTTTCTTGAATTGCATTGAAAAATGTGGAAAATTAACGACTCACGAGCCCTTTAAAGAGAAGGTACTTGCTAAGTAAAATATCCGGCGTGGTGGTGGGGGAAGCTCGTCCAAGCGAGTCGCGCGCGCGAGAAAAGTGAAATCCAAAGTTCAAATTGATGTGCGCTGTAAAATTTTGCAATATCTCGGCTTCTATTCATCGTATAAACTTTTTTTTTTTAACTGGGGTAACTCGACAAAAAAATAACAATGGGCATACTTACGAGTTCGTAAGATAGCTCTGCACCCCAGAAAAAATGCATCCTTTATACTTAATTTTTTTTTAATTTACAAAAATGACACAAAAATTATTGTTAAACGAAATATTAATTAAAATTTCAATTTCGGAATTATTTTACTATTATTAAATAAATAAATGAATCTATGGTTCATTTAAATAGTTATTTTTTTTACATATTAAGCCAATGTAAACTTATTTTTTCAATATTTTGTTAGTTATTTAATTACGATTTAAAAGTAAAATTAAAGTAAAAATTCACAAATTGTTTTCAAACTATTATTTATTGTTAAAAGATTTAAAAAAGAATAAAAATCATTTGGTTAGTCAAAATGTCAAAGTAACACGAGTAAGTTATGTTTTAATATATAAAGTTTTTTTGTTAGATTTATTACTAATTTTATACAAAAACATTTTTGCAACCTAATCAAAATTATTTCAATAAATATTAATCGCAACCATTTTCAATAATAGATATAATGCAATATAATACAACAATTTAAAATTTATTTTTTTTTTCTATTTTTATGAGTAATAATAATAAGGAGAACAGGCCTTAGCCGGCGGCGGCGGGTCTCAGCTGGTGGATCTCAGCCAGGACAGGAGGAGGCCCCGCGAAGTGAATTAATTTCAACACTGTATATCCTAAGTAATTTATGAGTGATTTATTTTTGCACTCAATATTTAGTTAATGAAAAACCAAGTTTGAGTAAAGAATGACTCAATATAGTTAAATTTAAATTATTTAGAGAAAATGTTAACTCTAAATTGGTTTTATAGAACCCTTGACTTGACTCAGAATAGAGTCAAAAGTCGCTCAATTGAAAGTTAGGAGTAACTCTGATTTGAGTAAAACTCACTTATTTCTGATGCAATAGTTTCACTCAGTTGTACTCATACTAATAGAGCGAAAATTTCACTCAATCGTCTGTGGACAGACTGATACGTTATTGAGTAACATTGAGTGAAATTTGACTGAAATTTTTTAGTATCTAAAACCCACTGAGTTTCCGGAGCTAATCTTTTGCGTTTCTTCCATACAAATTTAGAATTTTAAAAGTGCAGCAATTTTCAGCCAGGGATTTTTTCGCTTTTGTTTATTCACACCCTGTATATGGCCCTGGCAATAAATAGGATCCAATAAAACGTCCGTCCATAAAAATTGCATCAGCTTTAACTCAAATAATACCTAAGAGGAAACGCGGAAAACTCCCTTTTATTTCCCAACGCTCAGTGGCTTTCTAAAACTGGAGGTAGGTTACGAAGACAGTCATTCACTGCTCCTTTATTATTAATCTGGGTATCCTAGCAATTTGGGTGGGTTGGGACTTTAGCGTGCCTGCGAAAGGATAACGGTTGAAGCGGGCCTTTGCTTAGCTCGCAATGTTAAAAGAGGGATGTTTTAGGGGATGTTTTTGATGCCGCCGGATACGTTGTGGAATTTTTACGACGCCTGTGCAAGCATACGGGCATCCTGTTGAATATTGAGGCTGGTTTGTTATTCTCTGTGCATTTGTTTGCAGTTCATGCAAAAAGCGCGGTTTTTGAAAAGCAGATGCATCTTTTATTGTCCTGTCGACAGTAGTCGTCAGTAAACTCACTGAGGAAAAAATAAAAAAGAATAATTATTTGTTTAAATGGGCAGTAACGTACAAAATTTATTGCTGCAGCTTTACGCGAGGCTTAGCCGAGTCTATTAAAGCAGCCAATAGTCCAGGGAACAAAGAGGAAAATACTTTTGGATATATCCGATTTATTTTTATATTTTTATGAAAATATGGAATTAAGCTTATTTCACCCTGTAGATGGAAAGTTATATATGCTTGATATGCGCTTCTCATTTTTAGGGGATGAAAACCACCCCTTATGCTAAAAAACTGAATAAATAAAAATAGGTGTTATATAAACCAAAATCATATCTTAATATATAGAATAATAGTATATTATTCAACGAGCGTATAATGATGGGTATTATCCACGAGGTGAAGTTTACGGCCACGAGCCGCAGGCGAGTGGCCTAAATCATCGAGTGGATAATAGCCATTATACGGGAGTAGAATACTATACTTTATCCACGACTACTAAATATTTTTGTTGAAGTTTTTTTTTGTTTTAGTTCGTTTTTTAACGCAATTTAACACAAAATATCAAAACACTGAGAAATCTATCCACACAAACAATAATGTTGACAGGTTTGAGTCAAATTTGTTTTGTTTTAAAAGCTACTTAGATTTATGAAATGTTTCGAAAAACATGGTATGTTAAGAAACAGATATACGACACGCACAAACGAAGTCGCTTATGGCTCAGTGTAGATGCTACTTCCGTTCCAACAGCGGGTCTGGGGTTCGAATCTGGTCTAGGAAATTTCACTTTTTTATTTTTTTTTATATGTACAGCACTGAATTGAAAATATTTAGTGGTTTACACGATAAAATTTTAAAAACCGATTGATTGTAGCAGAACAATATAATATTATAGCTAAATCAAGGAAGCATCTGACAGTAGTGATTAATGACTCATTAATCACTGCCGTGATTAATGGGTATTAATAAGGTCGAGCAAACAGACGTATAATGGGTACATTATACAATAGTCGTGGATAAATATTGTTTTATATTGTGTGTTATAATTTAGGTTATTTTTATAAAGTTTCATCCCTTAAAAACCACCCTTAATGATATAAATATAAAATTGATAATTTTTTGACAGTAAAATATTTTTATAGCGCATATATTATAGATATGAACTCTTTTCAATAGTTTATGGTGTTATAAATAATTTACTACAATATTTCAACCCTTAAAAAACTACCCCTAATAACAAAATATTAACAAAAATAGTTTTTAACAGTTTGGAATGATTTGATAGTACAAACAGGATAAATTAAATTCTTTTACCTGTTTATATTACAATTTATAACTTATCGCATTGTTTTAACCCTTAAAAACCACCCCAATAAACAATGCAAAATAAAAAATTTTTTTCGTAATAACTTTTTCGCGATTTACTTTAATTTATGCAATATTCAAAATATGTAATTATTTCAATTATTTCTCAATATATTTTTTTTTCAGTCATAATTTTAAATTTTCCTATAGGGAGGTACCTATGAATACTCCAAAGTTGTGGATAACCAAAACATTGATATGCCCCGAAAATTGAAGCGATAAGGTACCGTTGGTTTTTTAACGATAACTTCCTTAATTTTAAAACTATTAAGACGATCCAAAAACGATTTTTCGGAAAATTTCGACAACTACAAGTACTGTAAAATTGAATATTTTTTAACACGTTATTTTTGAGATTTTTGAGGTTAAAAGGTTTGAAAAACATCACCTTCGTCCTCAACTGCAAACTTCTAGCAGCGACGTCTCTGTTAATTTCCTACACAAATAAAAAAAACAAAATGAATGAAAAAATCTAATCTTTTGAACTCTTGAATATTTTCCGTATATTTTTTATTTTTAGTTATTTTCAAAAATATGTTATTTTTTTGGAATTAAAAAAAATTTCAATCAAGCCGTAATATTTTAAAAAATATGCATTCTAAGCCGCTTAAACTTGTATAATATATTGTTATCATACAAAAAATGTAAATTGTAGAAGGATTACCTTTCATTTGAAATCTCGTGAAAAATTCGTCAGTTTTTGTACTGATTTTTTTCCTAAAAAGCGAATTAACAATTTATTTTGATCATAACTCTGTTAATTTTTATGATAATGACTTAAAATCAAGTTCATTTTAAAGATTTTTTAAACTACTTTAAAAAATGTTCCGTGCATTTTTTTTTAAATATAATTTTTTTAGTTAATTTACGACAAATATTTCCAATTTAGTTTCT